GGGCGCCAGGACCCTCAGCTCCTGGGGTGTCTCTGGAACTCTTCAGCCACCTCCTTACTGCTACTCCCAGGGTTGGAAGCCCGGGGTTTTTGCCTGCATTTCATGTAACCCTCCCAGTCTATTCTACCCATGATAAAGACAGAAGTATATAAAAGGCCATTTGGGGGAAGTTGTTATTAGGACCCAACACTGCAGCACTAAATGTTCAGGGGTAGTAAGAGAGATGCCTCACAGACTAAGTAGTTAAAGTGTAGGGACCAACCTGGTTAGAACCCAAAGGGGGTTATTACAGGTACGCCATGCAATTGTCAGACTATAATTCGCACCAATCATGACACAGCTTCCAGTTTCACTGAGAACTCACAACTCTCACATAAAGACCAGACACAAGCTTTGAGTAAGAACCAATCACAAGCCATGTATAGACACAGCCCCGTATTGGCCAATCATGAACTATCTGCTTGGTCACTGTGGAGAACACTCTTCTCTTGACCTAATTTGATGACTACTGCCGCAATGTCCGGAGCAGCCAGGGCTGTGCCTCGGGGGCAGTAGTGGGCAAGGCCATCTGGAGGTTACTGGGGCTTGTCAGGGCGGTCTGGCAGAGCTGCTGCACGTGAGAGAAGCTGTGACTGGAATAAGGCCTCCTAAAGCAGAAGCCATTGCCAGCCACTGAGGGTACTGAGTTCCTACAGCAGAGGTAGTTTCCTCAAGACATCCCTGAGCTGTTTAAAGCAGTTGGGTTACCATGACAACAGTCCAGTGGTCACCAAAAGATGGACTGTTTGGTGTGTAGTTTCCTGCTTAAGGCAGTCGGGTGCAAGGGAAGGTCATGGAAACTGTCAATCAGAGTCACATCAGGCCTCCAGAAGCTTGATCTGTCAATCAGAGTCACATCAGGCCTCCAGAAGTCTGATTTGAAAGAAAAGTAGACATAAAAGGATGCTTTCAATAAAGACTTGTCATTAACATGGTATGTGTCTATGTATTCATATACATATATGTTCATGTGTGTGATGCATGTGTACACATGTAGAGGTGCATGTAGAAGCCTGAGAACAACCCTGTCATTCTTCAGGGACCATCCATGGCTTCCTATTTATGAATGAGACAGTCTCTCACTGACTTGGAACTCACTGAGTTGACTAAGATGGCTGGCCAATGCAACCTCAGGATCCACCTGTGCCCACCTCCTTGTGCTGGAATTACATGTGCACACCACCATGTCCAGAACTTTTATAAATGTGGGTTCTGGGAAGTCAAACTCAGGTCCTCATGCTTGGAAGGCCAGCATTTTATAGGCTGAGCTATCACCCAGGCCAATGTCAGCCTCCATTGAAAAGTGATAATGTTATGTGTATCTATAATGAGTGTTTTGTCTGAATGTGTATCTCTGAACCATGTACATGCCTGGTAACCACAGAAGACAATGTCAGGTTCCCTGGGACATGAGTTACAGATACTTGTGAGTCACCATGTGGATGCTGGGAATTGAACCCAGGTCCTCTGGAAGAATAGTCAGCACTCCCAACCACTGAGGCATCTCTCCAGTCCCATTAACATTCTTAATGGTATTTAACAGTGCTTAACTCCCAGCCAAATACTCTTGGGAGTACACAGATCATTCATTCTATCTTACCTCAGAATCATACAGTCTATGATGAAGCCAAATGGGACCCAGGCCTCTTGACTGCTAGTCTTGTGTCATTTTCTGGCCTGTGGGAACTTCTTGTCTGGACTGGTTTTTGATATACTTATCTACTCAATTCTGCTCAAATCAAGGTTAATTTTCTTGGGTTCAATTTTCATTTCTTCTGAAAAAAAATCTACCTAGTTAAATTTACTTATACTGCTCAATTCTGGCCCGAGTACAAAAGGAAACAAACCTAAATGCTGAATCAAAGCTCTCTGCAGCCTAGAGGTAGGCCTCCAGTCTGAAATTAAATCTATTTTCTCACCAGCTTAATGACACCGCTAGTTGTTTTTAATTAAGTTGCCCTAAATTGCTACACTGAATGAATTTTCAGAGCCCGTGGAAATGCTGTGTTCCAATGTACTTTAACATGAAAAAAGAAAAAAAAAACTGAATTGGTTCTTGTCTAGCAGGCTTAGGTAAGGGTATTTCAAAAAAACAGCTTAAAAGTGTTTTTCCAACTAATAATGTCTAGACTTTCCAGAACGTTTTCCATGTCTTCTAGGCTCTGGGAATTAAATTCTTATTCTTCCAAAGCAAATTGGTGAATGTCTACATTTGTCAAAGAGAATCATGACCCTGGTAAGCAAGGGGAGCCAGGAAGGGACCAGGAAACAATTTTCACCCAAACAGATGACAGCAATTTTTTAAAGCAAGGGTCAAGACCGATTTCTTCATTTTATTCCTTTTAATTTTCCAGAATCAAATCACTATTCATGGGAAGGCAGGTATGCCATTCCTTGTTCTCAGCCTTAACGAAGGCTCATTGTAGATAACTCTTGATGGAAGAGATGAACTGGAGTCAGTATGTCACCGTTATAATGAGAAACAGAAGCTGATACCACCTCTTTATGGAGAGACAGCCTGGCTGAAGCAGTAATGTCAATTCCCAGCAGACCAATTGTTTGCACAAAAATAAGCCACCGCTGTTCCTTAGCAACCAAGGCTGTTCTTCAAAGGCTCTCTGGCTGAAGAGCTGAAGACCTTCTTTTGCCCCTGGCATCTAACAAGTAGCCAGAAGAGACCCCGATGGGACAGACTGTTCTGCTGCCATCTTGGAAGCATTCATCAAGCCATGGAGTGAAGAAGTCAGCCTCTGCTTTTGATCTCAAAGCAACCAAGTAAGTGCACCAACCATCACTTAACATGTGCAGACCAACTGGAGACATACGACAAGTCTCTGGTTTACTCTGGTTGGCATTTACTATGGCATTCAATTCTCCACGCCCTTCTCTCATCTCTATTTCCCACTCTGCTTCTGACGGAGACCAGTGAAATATGAGGTAACTAGGATACTGAGATGAGGTGGAATGTTTAAACAAAGAAACCTCAATTACTTAAAGTGACAGGGTACCACACATTTGACAAGCTGTGGTTAAAAATGTTCAGTAATGGTTCTATTGGTCTCCAAACATAATCAGAAGGAAGATATATTTCTCAGTGCTTCATTAAATTAGGTAATAAGTGTGTGGGCACACACACACACACACACACACACACACACACACATATTAGAGGTCAGAGGTCAACTTTGGTTATCTTTTTGAGACAGGGTCTCTCAATGAATCTCAAGTTCAACTTTTGGCTACTCTGGCTGGCTGGCAAGCCTCTGGGGTCTACCTGTCTGCTCCCTCATTGCTGGGGCTGTAGTGTGCACCTCCACAGCTGGGTTTTCACACAGGTTCTGGGGACCCAGACTCAGGGTGTCACACTTGCCCGAGCACTCGACCCACTGAGCCATCTCCCCAGCCCCTAGGCCATGAACTTTAAACCTGCTTTTGTTACTATTATTCCTTTCTAGCATTAAACTCCTGGTTGAACGTCAGAGACTTCCTCTCCCGCAAGTTTCTATTAGACTGTCTCCTTGGTCAAAGAATGTCTTGTTGCATACAGCACACAATGACTCTGCAAAGCTGATTGGCGCTTCACAGCAGACATGGATTGAATGGCAATTTGAGTTCCATGGTGGTTTTCTCAATGAAAAACATCTGGAAAGGGGTGTGGAAAGTGAGCACCTGGTTCAGATCAAGACTGCTCATGTGCTCCTTCATTTGCATATTTATCTGTTTGGTGATTTATCCAACAAGTATTTATTGAGCATCTTGCTGCCATGAACTAGATTATGGGCTAGAGATACAGCAAGACAAACCTTTCTCCTGACCTCTAAACACAGACACACACAGACACAGACACACACACACACACACACATGCGCGTGCCCACATCATTATTGTAGAGAGTAACAGTCAAAAATAACACGATATACCTGTGCTAATGAGGGGAGTGTCAGGGTGGATACTAAAGAAGCACCTAGCAACACTTCTTCCTTTAGACCTAGAGAGACTGAGGGAGGACTTCCCGGAGGAGATGGTGATGGGACAGGACTAAAGGCATGTATAAGCCTTCTGAGAAGAGAGAGGTGGAGAAGAAGGCATGGGAGGGAATGAAAGCAATCAGCTCACTCCCAGTATAGCTGGGTTGGGATAATGTCAAGGGAAGTAAACTGGAGTCAAGTCATAAAGGGTGTATAAGCTGAGAGAAGGGAAGCCATTGAAGAGTTCTTGAGAGAAAGAAGGTATCTGTAGGCAAGGCCTGGTCCTACTGCCACCCAGTTTCTGCCAGAGTGATGATGTACCACCACACCACTTATCTGTAACACTCCCTCCACCCTACCGAGAGACTACTCAGAATACAACTGCACTGAAGAGCTCCTCCATTTTTCAGCATAAAATAGCATGTCTTTTAGAAGCTAGGGGTCAGTGAAGATGACCCAGAGGGTAAATGAGCTTGCCATGCATGCCCAATGACCTGAGTTCAATCCTCAGAACTCACAGAGGAAGAAAAGAACTGATACCCAGATGCTGTCCTCTGACCTCAATACTCCCACTGTGCTTTGCACATCCCCTCCCCCACCACACACACACACACACGCACACACACACACACACCCTCACACACAACAATAAACATCTTTTTAAAGTTGGACTTTTTATGTTCTTGATCTTAAAAGTACTTTAAAGACCTTATGCTCTAGTATGTCCCACTTTTTAGGTAACAAAGGTTATAAAAGAAACTACGGTCTTAACACCATGACTCCAAAAGCACATATAACTCAATAGCAAAAAAACCAAAACAAAACCCAAAAACAACAACAATAAGACAATTAAAAATTCTTGAAG